TGGGCCGTAATGGCGGCTGCAAGCTAGCCGCTCGATCACCCTAGGCACCATCCAGGTATTCCACTCCCTCACCAGGTCCACACTGACAAAGCAGACCAAAAAGCAGCCCAAAAAGACTCTTATGTTCTCCAAAGACGCCAGATCTTTCAGGCCTCCCAAGTCCCCAAGGTCTCTGAGGACTCCAAAGCACAGGCAAAGAACGCCGCCGCTGCAAAAAGCTGTCTGGAGCGGCAGCGGCAGCACACCGTCGCCATCTTCGCCCCCGGCTCAAAAGAGGTCTCCAGGATGGCTGCAATCATATGAGCTAAAAACCGGCCAAAGGCACCCCCACTCAAGCCGATCATCAGGCTGGACCCCCTGTAACATCGTCTTCCTGCTGCTGGGGTCAGCACCAAGGTAATCGTTAATCATGTAGTATTTTCTGGTGGTTTCATTCTGCCTGCCAGCTGGACCTAAGAATGCCGGCGGCCATCTGGAACTCGTGCATGCGCAGAATTCAGAATTCAAAATACAGTCTCAATGACTACATCAGGAAAACTAAAGAGGTTCTGCTTACAAAAGATTGTAAAGAAAGGCTCCCAAAGACAACAAAACCTAAACTTTATTTCACATCTCCTAACCTCCTAACAGTGCACTCATGCCTCTGTTGTTGAGCCTATCCACCTCATCCTCTTCTCTTTCTGTGTTTCCTAGAAGGTGGTCTTACCTGTTCCTGCTGCCTCTCTGCCTGCCTGCTCCCTGTTGCTTCCATCCACCGCGACGAGGATCCATTGCATCGGAGTTCTGCTGATTCTGCCTGCTGGTAAGTGACCCGGGTTTTTTTCTTTTATTTTTTTTATGTATTTTAAAATAATATTTTATTTATTGTGGATAGAATTTTTTAAAATAGTTTTACTTCAAAGTGTTGAGTGTAGAATATTTTAAAATTGTTTACTTCAATTTATTGTGTGTGGGATAGTTTGAAATAGTTACAGTATAAATTATTGCTTGTTGATTGGAATAATGGTTACAGTATACTATAGCTGGTATAATACCTTAAAATAGTTACAGTATAAATTATTGCTGGTGGAATACTTAACAATGGTTTTTAAGGATTTCTTTTATTTATAGAATATCTTTTTTTTAATTATTTTGGGGGGAATGTTATTTTTTAATTGTTTATAAAATATATTTACTACAAGAAATGTTGTGCCTTTTTTCAAATGTTTTCTTTGTGATGCAATATGTTGCTTTTAAGTGTTCAGACCAGATTTATGTGTCTCAAAGTGGCTGCTTTTCTATGGGCAGGCCAGGTTGGTGCAAGGCAGCTTTGCCAAATTTAGTGTTTCACCCTCATTGTTTAAGTAATTCTGAGGTGGTTGATGGTTCTGTGAGCGCCTGTCCTTTATAATTTCCCGCAATGCCTTGATGGTTTTTATTCCAATGACTTTGTCTTTCCTGTCCTTAGGCTTAGGGAAAAAAAACTGGTTTCATTGGCAGTCTTTTGGGGGGGGGGATTCTTATTTTTTGGTGTTTTCCTGGCACTGTCATAGTTTTGTGTGGGTGTGTAATGTCCCACAGTTATCTACGCATTAATAATGATCTAGTAATATTTTCTTATAGATTTTAGGAACCTTTCCATACCCTTAATTGGTGTTTTCTTTCATACTTTTGGATTTCTAATTTCTGTTTCCATTAGTTGGCAATTGCTAAAACCAATCCCACATGAAAAAGTATTCAAAGCCTTCTTGATTTTAATTGTCAATTTATTTATTTCTGCACATTAAATTAAATATATATTATACTCCCTTTCAAATAGCCAACAAAATATTTCTGGTTTTAATTCCATATCTTGCTTTACGATTGCTTCTAATCACTAACTTCTGAACTTGGACCGACCTAAGTACTAATTCATAATTTCATATCCGGTCACATGGGTGGCAGGCCACTCCCATCCGGTCACATGGGCAGCAAACCACTGCCATCCGGTCACATGAGTGGCAAGCCACTCCCACAAAGGAGGCCACACCCACAGAGTAGGTTCCAACAATTTTTGAAACCCACCACTGGCGGTAGGGACCAGGTTGACTACCACTGATCTACATGAAAAAACTCCCTAAGTAAGGGTCATACCGAATTTCTAAATGTGAGGGACAGCAGGAGTCCTTGACTTACAATAGCTCATTTAGTGACCATTTAAAGTTACAATGGCACTGAAAAAAGTGACATGATCGTTTTTCACACTTCTAACCATTGCAGCATCACCATGGTCACATGATCAAAATTCAAATGCTTGGCAACTGATGCATATTTATGACATTTGCTGTGTCCCAGGGTCATGTGACCACTTTTTGTGTCCTTCTGACGAGCAAAGTCAATGGAGAAGCCAGCTTCACTTAATCACTTCACTTCACTTAATTTAACAACTGCAGTGATTCACTTAATAACTGTGGGGGGGAGGTCATAAAATGGGGCAAATACACTTAACAAATGTTTCACTTAGCAACAGAAATTTTGGTCTCCGTTGTGGTTGTAAGATGAGGATTACCTGTATTAATAAAGCTTTCATTTGCTTGTCTTCTGGAAAATACTTTTTCTAAATGGTGCCCTGAGTAAGGTTTCATAACTTTTTTTTCAGGGCGTGTTTTTCCCCAGCATCTATCTCCACAGCTTTGAAGTGTCTTCCATTTCATTTTCATCCTTTGTGCACTTAATTCAGCATGTCACCATAGCACCTAAGATTTCCTCAAATCTTCTGCAAAAGCTCTACAATAATTTTATTCAACTACAACTTTCACTGCTTTAAAGATTAGTTCTAAAATATGAGCTGCATTTCAAGAGCTTGCACTATCTTCTCTCTCCTTCATCCTATTTGGTTTGATAGCACAGAATTCATATAATAATAAATATATATATTATAGAAATTATCAGAGCCATGTAATTTAAATAACATTTTTAGAAATGTTCTTCATTAGGTTGAGTTACTAAGTATTACATTAAACAGCTTCATCCATAATTATTCGGGGCCACATCAAGATATCATGTTTTCAAGGATAGAGTCAAATCAACTTCTTCTGACATGAAGATTTGATTAGTAAAATTTTGCTTCTTGAAAAGATTTTGCTGAGAATTACATTTAACTAAAATCTTGTGAATAGATCTATGATCACTAGCTGACAGTTTAGCTCTCAAAGGTTTACGACTGCGGCCAATTCTTAATTTAGAATAATTATAAAGCAGATATTCACTGAGATATTTATTTATTGAATTTTGCACAATGAGTTTTGTTCTGTTTAATTCCTCTAACTTCACTTCAATTTCCTTTAGAGAGGTGAAATCGTAAACACAATTTATCCTGCTTGGATATGTGTTACTTTCCCTCATGGCTTTCACTTCACAGTCATGAATTTTCAATTTTTGGAATGAGATTGATCACGTGAAACTCTTTAGATACGGAATTGGTGGTAACTAATATACAAACTGCATGTATATTGATTCTGAAACTGCACATTTTGTTTTTGTTCAAAATTTCTTGTATAATATGTCATTATAATTATGCTATCAATATTGTGAATAGCAATCCCTAGCAAGTTTAAAATTATACATTAGTTAGCTTAGTGATCCATTCAAATTCAAGATGCTTTGAGGAATCAAGAAAAAAACTCAGTGGAAAGTTAGCTATAAGCTATTTTTAAGTATGTGTGACTCAGTGGATTCAGGTAACGTATTCTATGTGAAATTCAAAACTGAAAAGGAAAACTTGAAGAAAGTTTATACAGCTCTGAAATCCTATATGTTTGTGTGACATTTGTCTCTAGAAACCCAAGCCAAAAGTTAAACTTAGAATACCACTGGTTTTCAGTATTTGTAACAATACTATTTTGAACAAAGAAAATTTAAAAAATAGTGCCAAAACTGCATGGTTTCTATCTGCTGATTGGAGTTCATTAGACTACAAATATTTCAACAGGACTCATCTTAAACAACAGAAAAACAGGTTATAAACAGCATTTGTAAGATACACCAAAGCTGAAAATATAAAAATGATGGGCCCATTTCATTTTTGAAATAAATCTATTTATTTGTTTAAAGAACAATAATGCTTATCCCAGGAAGTATACTATTCTTTTTTTCTCTAGCTCTATAAGTCTCTTCTAAGTCTTGGCAAAATGTATTTTTTCATTATCTCTCAAATGTAACCTTCATTAGATTTCGTAGGTAAACCTGCAGTCGGATTTATTTAGTATATGATAATATATTATCAGGAAATAGAAAAGCTATAGAAAAACTGGAAACCTGGTTGGGGATGAGGGATTCTAGAACAAGGCAGCAGCCATGGATTCCATTTCCATAGAATAGAACAACAGAGTTGGAAAGGATCTTGGAGTTCTTCTAGTCAGGAGGAAGGAAAGGAGGCAGGAAACGCTACACAACTTCAGACATATGGTTAGCCAATCTCTTCTTAAAAACTTCCAGTGTTGGAGCATTCACAACCTCTGGAGGCACATTATTCCACTGATTAATGGTTCTAACTGTCAGGAAATTTCTCTTTAGTTCTAAGTTGCTTCTCTCCTTGATTAGTTTCCACCCGTTGCTTCTTGTCCTACCCTCAGGTGCTTTAGAAAATAGGTTGACTCCCTCTTCTTTGTGGTGGCCCCTGAGATATTGGAACACTGCTATCATATCACCCCTAGTCCTTCTTTTCACCAAACTAGACATACCCAGTTCCAGTAACCATTCTTTATATGTTTTAGCCTTCAACCCCCTAATCATCTTTGTAACTTTTCTCTGCACTCTTCCTAGAGTCTCAACATCTTTTTTACGTCGTGGCAACCAGTATGCAGTATTCCAAGTGTGACCTTACCAAGGCATTATAAAGTGGTATTAACACTTCATGTGATCTTGATTCTATCCCTATGTTTATGCAACCTAGAACTGTGTTGGCTTTTTGGCAGCTGCTGCAAACTGCTGGCTCATATTTAAGTGATTGTCCACTAGGATTCCAAGATCCCTCTCACAGAGACCACTATTGAGCAAGGTACCACATATACTGTACCTGTGCATTTTGTTTTCCTTGCCTAAATGTAGAACGTTACTATATAGTTATGAAGAAAACATTATTGTCATCAATTCCTAAGGCATCAGGAATTGAGTGTGACAGACATTTTACTGCTTTAATGAAGAAGATTCCAATGCACAAAAGTGCCAGAATAAATTTGTTATTCTTTAAGATGACCCAGTTCTTTCTATTTTAGAAGTTTAATTAGAAAGAAAAAGTTGAAAATTAGGTACTTTTTATTTGGCAATTCAATTATGTAAAATGCACTTGTAATATCACAGATTACTTTATGCAAAGGTTTTCAAAAAATGGTTGAAGAAGGAAAAAGTGGTTTGAGAACTTCAACTTATTAACAGAGACAAGCCCAATCAATTTTAATAACTCCTACTTCTAACTATGTTCTTAAATGACAGGGGTATAACACAGGAAAAACACAGCTAGTTTAATAAGTAAATGAAATAATAAAAAATGCAATTAAAGTGATAACATGCCAGTAGTAAGTAAAGCTCAATGAAGTTAAGTTGCTTAGCACAGTAATATCAGAAATATTAACAGTTTTAATGCTTGTTTAACAAAATAAATACATCTGATTTGTCATTTAAACTTTACTTAATATGGAGCTTCTATATGCAATATCCCCTGATAAAATACATGCTTGTATTTGTAACAAAACTTTCCAACATACAGTATGTATTTAACACAAGTTTTCCCAAATATATTGGAAATATATTGTTATGTGTATTTTCCTGCATATGTGTTATAATTTAATATTGGGATATAATCTCTTTTTTTAATTATCTAACTAGAGAATTTTTAAAATGCAAGTCACCATACATTATACTTTTTAATGCAAATTTCAAGTATATGCTATTTTACATAATGTTTGCAAACAAATCATGCTATATGTGCATTTTTGACTGAAGAAGGATCAATAGCATTAAATCTATTCAATGCCATGTCTCAATGGATTCCATTTTATTTAAGCTTTTATATCTGCTTTCATGGAAATCTATGTTGGATTTATTTTAAATATGAATTGTGCATATCCTTGCAGGAGTTTCTGTTGTCATGTCATCACTGTATGATGTATGCACCCAGAAATATATGAATAGGAAACCATATTGTTTATCTTAAATCATAAGTGCTTGCATTTTAAAAATTAACATCATGAATCATATGATTTAGAATATGACAATTTCACAAAAAGAGATGATAACTAAACAAAACCTTATTTTGAATGATCACGTCAAAGGTGATAGTGAAACTTCCACTAGTTCACAATAAATTTTAAAGTAGACAGACAATAAATATTTAAAGAGAAAGACATTCTGTTTTATGGGGAAACACAGTAGCTTCTTCATTAAAATTCCTCAGAGATTATTAAATTGATTCTGATTTTCAAATAAATGAAGAAATTTTAAGAAATGATATAGCTATTTATGGTAACTGCTTTCCTATATTAGTGTCACATTTCTGATTTTGACTGGATTAATTGGATAAACATTAGTTCTTGAAGGAATTTCTTCTGCTTGAAATTTGTTGTTTGACACCTAGTAGATTAAATAGAATACATTAGGTTAATAAGATATTAGTAAATATTATCTATTCATTGTAAGTGACACAGTTTTAAAAATCAGAAGCTTGAGCCAGTAAATTTATAAAAACCGTGCCTATTTACTTAAGAGTTTGGGCCATACAATACTTGAATTTAGCTTGACTTAAAGTTTGAACCCATCTATTTTTGCTTAATATTATATAACCAGGCCAATAAATCTAACAAATTCAGAGAAATTAATCCCCAAATCTAGACACTAAAGACTGACTATATCCTTATCATACTGGAAACTAAATAAAAAAGTCTTTTATGACTGACTTGGTCATGACTAATTGTACCTTGATCAGAGTCCAATAAATTAAGCGATCATTTTTTTTCTTTCAGAAATATGACTCCTGAAAGGTGATAATAGACTTTTCATTCTTCAGTTGATTTGCTTGCCACATAAAGCACTGTTCTATATTCATGAGTTGACATTTAACACCGGATCTCTTGCCAAATAATTTTCAAAAGTAGTACTACATTCTATAATAAGGGGATCATGTCAGAGATGTAGACTCTTCTCCATGCAGAATTGTGGGATCTTATATTATTGCTAGTGCAAGAAGCAGTGGTGGGATTCAGCCAGTTTGCACCTATTCGAGAGAACCGGTTGTTAACTTTCTAAGCAGTTCAGAGAACTGGTTATTTGAAGAAATCTCATTTTGTTTTTTCTCACATTACAGGGCTAATCCTGTAAAGAAGGTAGGAAGGAAACATTTTGGTGTTGTTTCTAGCCTAATCTTTATTGCCCTGATTACAGAAACTGCATCTCCGGTTAACCCTTATTACATTGTAACAGCTAAGGCGAAGCGCCCATTGATGTGAATGATGTTGAGTTGGCCATGCTCACATGGTCACATGACCACTGAGCCATGCCTATCCAGCTGGTCTTTAGGGCAGAGAACCAGTTGTTAGATTATTTGAATCCCATCACTGGCAAGAAGTATTAAAAGAAAATACCAATGGAAATAAACATCAGTCCTTGGAAAATAGCCAAAAATTACAGTGGAAAATTTAGTTAAGAACTGTACTTTCTCTCATCCTATCTTAATGCTATTTTTGTATTACTCTATTTTCTTCATATACACTATCAGCTGATAGTGGATAACTATATTGTGGTGCCAAATTTTTATTTAATGCATTTAATTCCATCTGTATATGAAATAAAATGCTTCCTAAATGGATTCATAGATTGGTGACCTGAAAATGTTATTACAAAGCCCATCATAATTGTTTTTTGTATGCTTTGTTGTAATACTTGCTATAGAAAATGATTTATTAACTAAAACACATGTGCCCTCTATCCTTGACTTCTTTTCATCATCACACAGCAAAGGTCAGGATGCCAGACACTTGGGGCAACTGAGGTGGTTGGTGGGCTAGCAGGAAGATCAGCAGGAATAAAAGGAAAAGCATTTTCTTTAGTTGAAAAAGACAGTGTGGCACTTACGCAGCCCAGGGACAGTCAACTACTATGGGACAACTTGTCAGGGCCAACTCACCATGAAACAAATTAGAAATGTAATTTAATTATTTAAAATAAATAAAAAAATATTTTAATTTTTGTCATTCACATTTCATTCTGTCCCTCCTTTTGCATCCTTTCTTTAATGATTCAATTCCACCATTTTTATTTTATTTTAGTGTAACTCTTACTCTGCAGCAAGTTGTCCCATGGCGAGTTGGCTATGGCAAGCTGGTTGTGACGAGTTGGCTGTGGTGGAGTTGGTCATGGTGATTGGGCCGTGGCGAGTTGGTTGTGGCAAATTGTCATAGACACCATCCCCCTCCAGGGACTGGATATGAGTAAATTGAGATTGTAGGCAATATCTTGGGGAGGTTATAGGTCTCTTTACATGTAGTTTTCTGATTTTTAAGATAAATACCAGTAGGTATGAAATGCCAATTTATACTTTTACTTGCAAGTGTCAGAATATTGGCCAAGAAGAAGTAGTCATCTTTATGAACTATGTTACAATCTCAAAAAGATTGTTCCACTTACCTCTGATGAAGAGCTCATATTCAGATCTTTCTTGGTATCATAAACAATTTCTGCAACTGGGAAGGAAGTGTGATCTGCAAAACAGAAGAGAACATATACAATAAAAGTGGCAAAGAACTAAAATGGTAGTCCACCTAAAATGGCAGGAACTATACATGTAGTCCTTGACTTACAGCAGTTCATTTAGTGACTATTTAAAGTTAGAATAGCACTGAAAAAGTGACTTATGACCATTTTTTACACTTACAACCATTGCAGTATTCTTATGGTTATGTGATCAAAATCCAGAAATTTGGCAATTATCTCATGTTTATAAAGTCACAATGTCCTGGGGTCATCTTTTGCAAACTTTGACAAGCAAAATTAGTGGGAAAGCCAGAGTCACTTAATAACTTGTGTTACTATTTTCATGACCGCAGTCATTCACTTAACAACTGTGGCCAGAAAGGTCTAAAATCTTAACAAATGTCTCACTTAACAACAGAAATTTTGGGCTCAATTATGGTTGTAGGACTATCTATACTTTGTTTCAGAAAGAAAAATAATTGAGAATTTCCTGAAAATAAGCAGATAGCTTGTCATGGAACAAAATACATAGATTATTGATATTTTTTTAAACTGAAAAAAGTGTTCAAGTGTTAACATCACAATGCTTTCTGTGAATCAATAAGGAGGATAACATTTTGTATTTTATTATCCTTAGGAGAGAAAAGATCAAAAGGTCGTAACATATCTGGAAGCCATCTTATTTGGTTTCTGTGCAAGCCAACTGGGTGTGAAAATATCACTATTTCTAAAAAAAACAAAAAAAACCTTAGAAACTGTGGGGAAAGCAGTTTAGCTTAAGGAACAATATCTTTTTCAATTACTCTTCCCTTTCATCCCCATCAAATGAAAAGAGATAACAAGAAGCCTACATGGAACCCGAAAGTAAACAAAAATAAAACAAAAGCCCAAATTTAGATGTAGCAGGGGGGGGGGAGAAGGGAATAGGAGTCCTCCTCCTATTCCCTTCTCCCCCCACACCCGCTACACCTAAATTTTGGCAAGAAGAGGGGGAGACAAATGTAGTGTGAGAGAAGGGAGGAGCGTTTTTCGAGGCTGAGGAAAAAGGAGGCCCAAGAGGATAGGAAATGGAGAAAGAAGCCTGGGGAAAGAGAGATGGAGTGAAGGTAATAGGGAGGATAGGAGAGGCTTCTGTGGGGCAAGCCTGAGGGAGAGAAGGGGATAGGAGAGGAAAGGCTTCTATGGGGCAAGCAGAGGAATCCACAAAGGAGTAGAGGCGGTGGAAGGAGAGCTCAGCAGGCAATTCAGGAGAGGGAGAGAGGAGAAAGAGATAAAGGAAGAAGGGCTACCTGACCAGCCACATGAATACCATCTCATCACATGATCCATTGGCTGAGAAAAAGACTGACCATCACCCACCACATGACCTGCTTGCTGAGAGAAGACTGACCACCATGACACTACATGACGCAGAGGTGCCTGAGTGAGGGATCAGTGGCCATACCAAAATGACAAGGACTTCAACAGCTCTTTCAGGGGTAGCGCTACATAGATATAAATCACAACTGGAAAATAACTCAGGATTCATACACTAAATTTGAACTATAGTTTCAAATGACAGATTTGTTGCTTCAAAACCAATGATTTTTCCACAAATTGTACACAACAAATCTTGACTTAGTGTTATATGATTTCAGCAAAAACTGTGCAATCTAGCAATAGAAATTACTCAACTTGCCTCCAACTCCCATCACATATAGAGCAAAATGTATAAAAATAACACTTATACATGATAGTTATTTCTACATGTGCTTCGATCATACAACCCATCATCCATTCCTTTTTCAAGATACTGAGATGTGCTATGAGTTTAGCAGTCCAGATTATATTCTAAATGGGGAAGCAAATGCAAACTTGAAGCTGGCTTCTGTGCTTCTCTGCATAAGGGTTCTTGGGCCTATATCTAATTGATATACATTTTCAATTAGTTTCCTTTGTGACAATTTGTCTGGAAATATCCTTTTAAAGAGAGCAATAATACAATACAATACCAGAGTTGGAAGGGACCTTGGAGGTCTTCTAGTCCAACCCCCTGCCTAGGCAGGAAACCCTATACCGTTTCAGACAAATGCCTATCCAACATCTTCTTCATTCACTGGATGCCCCAACATTAACTGTCAGTTTTAACCCATCTAGCCAATATTTTTAAATGAAATTTCTTCACTTCATTTCTTTAGGAAGTAATTCAGACAGCTCACTTTTTTGCTACTTACTAGAATATATGGTAAAAAACCAAGATCCATTTCTTCATTTTATTTTAACTTCTCAAGTCATTCAGTTAAAGGTTTCACTGTCCCAGGATCGATATATCTGAGTTTTAAAAACACATGCCCACTCAGTAATACAACAGCTGCACAATTGAAGCTTCAGGCATTTTTGTACTGTATATATGATATATGTACAATGCACATTAAAGAGATGTGACTTCAATTACCTTCATGCCTGCAATCTTGACATCATTTTCCTAACACACATACACACACAAATACACACACACATGGATGCCCTGATGGCAGCAAAACTAGTGGCTATCTGGATTTTTGCAGCCGAGCTTTATTAACTTATATAAATTCATTTCTGGTTGGCTTCCAAACCAGGTTAAAGTGGACTAGCTACTTTATCTCTTTGCTACCATCTGACAATTGCCAGAATTTTTTCAGGCCAGAAATAGTAGCCTAATACTTTTTTAAAGGAAAGCTAATATTTGCCTACTTTCTGGCCACCAAGTTGTAGGAGGACTGAATTTAAAATGCATATATATATATAATTCTATATAGAACTTTTTTTTTTCATTTAAAGGTTACTTACGTGGCATTTGCTCTGCACTGTAGCCATAGTTTTCCTTTCCACTGGGACTCACAGTTTCCAAATTTCCACCTTTTTTTTTCTTCCCTGAAATCTTTCTAGAAAATAAAAATACCTGATATTGGCAAGCAAATCATTTATGATATGTGAATGAATAGAAGATAGTCTCCTCAGGCTGTGAACCTTGCAGTTTATCAAACAAGGTTGATACTATAGAACAAGGGTTCTACAGCAAGAATGGTTCTCCCCCCCCCCCACCCCAAAAATGTTTTTCCTGGAATATTCAGCTAAAGCCCTTAGACTTAAGCAATTGCTCTAATTTGGAAGAGAACACTTCAGGTGTAGTGATTCTCTGCTCTTGTGATTGAGGTTTGTACAAAACAAATATTGGTCACTAGACTGCTAATCATATCTAGCTTTGCTAAATAAAAACATTTTCCTTTTTGGAAAAAACTAGTTTTACTGAAACCTAAGGGAACAACCAATGCTGGTATAGGAAATGTATTTCTTTGTCAGGATATGTATTTGTAAGAAGTTGGCAGAGTTTTAAGGAAAGGCTTAGCTGAATATGAGTTGCATAACTTTAGAGAAACCATTGTGTTCCTTCCTCTAGAAATCTGGAATTCACTTTGAAACATTGGTTGGAATTACTATTATGAACTTCTACCTAATTTTAACTGTATAACTTTATGGGAAGTTAATGTGTCCCTCCCTCTAGAAATCTGATGGGGAATCAATCCATATCAACACATTAGGTGGAGCTGTTACTGTGAACTTCCACCTAAAGTCCAATATTCATATCTGTAAAAGGCAAATGTTACAAAATAGAACCATGTTGGAATCTGCCATCTGAAAAACAGTGATGTATACTATAACATTTATATTTTGCCAGAATTATGGATAGGGCATTTAAACAGTATTTAAATCCAATGCCTACAGTCAATACCCCTTTAATGTTGCTTGATTGTTGGATCAACAATGGAGAAAGTTTAGTTGCTAAACTTCAAGAGGTTCTGCACCATTTTGACAATTCTGGAATTAATACCAACCAAGAGACGATTTTTAGAGTAAATTGTCTAAAGAGTTTTATTCAAATGCAGCCAGCTAAATTTACTGAAGGATTTAGAGCCAACAGAATGACTGATCATTCTTTGTGACCTTGAATGTCTATCAGTTCAACCTAAAGGCTCTCCCTAACAAGGTGGACTAAGAGAGGAGGGATATTATGTATGCTAGGTGCAACTCATTTAGTTCTGAAAAAGCTTTAGATGGAGTTTTATCAGCAATCTTAGCAATTTATTCATGAAGTACAGTTGGGCTGGAGTCTCTGTGTATTACTTAAATTCTTCCATTACAATAATCCATAAAAACACAGGTTGATTTGGTTTTTCTCTTTCTTAGTGGTTTAAAAATTTGTATTTTCAAGTGTTTATCTCAGTAAAAGAAAAAAGAAAATAAAGGAAATTGTATTATTAATTCTCACAATTCTGAGATAAGCTTTCTTCCTTCCTTTGAGGAAAAAAAAAGAGAAAGGTTTCAATGCCTTAAAAACCAAAACCATTGGAAATCTTCCACATCCAGGATTCTTAATTGTGGTGTCTTAATTAATAACAATGAACATTTCTTTCATTTTTAAAGTTGAAAACCCGAGGGCATTCCAACATATCATTTAGCTTTCATCTCTGCAAGTGATTAAAACTCATTTTGCTAATTTGGAAACAATTTGTTATCAAGCGTTGCCTTTCAAGAGATTGTTTTCAAAGTTCTTAGAAAAGCACAGGATGTAACCTAATTTGCTTGGCAGTTGCGCTCAGTGCACCACTTCCACCTGTCTCAGTTTCAGATCTCTTTCTGTAACAGACATTCTATACTAAAAGCCCATGGAATAGAAACATCACTGCAGTGAGCTACTTTGGTACACAGTGACCTCTTGTGGTATATGTATTGCATATTAAACATGAAGGCTTTTCACAAAAGGAGCTAGCTACAAAACAGATGTTTTCTGAACCCCTGCATTGAAATGTCCATTTAGAGCATTTCTGAAAATTATATTCTTTTTCACCATTTTTGAAGAGTGTGAAACCTTGTCTTAACTGTGATTATATAAGGAAACATAGCTATCATCAAATACTTCATAATCAGCCAAATAAGGAGTGGTTATTCTTCAGTGATCATAAGTTGTATTTACATTTTGGGTTGGGAATGAGAACCACAAGATGCATGCCATGTTATGAATTGTCCTATTAAACAAGCTACTTGCTTCATGGAGCCATTTTATGTGGTCTCAGCATCTGCTTTAAGATTGGAAATATGTAAAAACTGTCAAATCAGACCCCCACAAAATAATAAAATAAAACAGCCTGTTTCGGACATTTGGGGATGAAAAAATTATTGTTGTACAATCAAGAATCTGTATTTAGTTCAATCAGGGAAGATGAGAGGGGTATGCAATAAAATTGGTTTATAGCATGGGCTGAAATTATCCAAAATCATATAAAACTCCTGTTTTCAATTTATTTTATATCTGTTGCTGATTTAAATATGGTACCTAGATCAAAGATTAGCCTTTTTTTTTCTCTATGTACCATTCTTTGCAATTTCTCCTTTTTTCTCTTTTGTTTCCCATCTTATTTGCCTAGGATGAACTTTTAAGATCTCAAAAGCATGCTCACTACTGAGTAACTTTTAATTAGACTAATAATACTGCTCTAACATGGATTATGGCATCTGTCCTCTGGTCAATATGTTTTTCAATAGCCACTGAAGCATGTAAGTTTATATCACGGCAAAAACTGTGTTCAGGATAAAATTTAAAACTGGAACAGCTAAGGTCAACTGTCTCAGTTTAGTTGGCAACTAAACGGCTCCTTCACTTAATAACCAAGAAAGAAACCACTCAACTTCATGTTTTAGAATTAAGTGTACTTTTACTGATTATAAACGATGAGAAGCAAAGCAAAGCTGGATCTGAGCAAAAGAGCGCGAAAGCAATAGCTATCAATGCATGATTCATTCCCCACCCCTTGGTACCCCAGTCCATAGTCCAATCATAAACCGCCACAACTGTCCCTCCTTCCACATGAGCAAATGAATGGTGAGAACAACTCCCAATTAACAGTCCTCCTGCACAGATTATTTCCCTCACCCAAATACCATGCCCTCCCTCCCCGTTTCAATGGCAGCCGAAAAGCAAGCAGCAAAACAGAGGCTGACAGCAACATCATGAAGTCAAAGCATGAAAAAGATTGCTGGGGCACATTTGTCCTGTAGTGAAAAGAGGCTCACAGGCTCAAAACATTTAGGCCATCATACATTTGGAAATCATACAGATTTCACCTCATAGCAGTTTACTGGTACTATCATTTTCTATGTTGGTTTTTGGTTGTTTGTATTAATGTTAGTTGTGATATTAAGTAAATACAATACATGTTTTGACATCAATAAGGGAATTAAAAATGATACTTGTCTTATTACCTTAGCTCACTTTGATAGTTGGACTCTGGAAAAGTAAAAGGACAAATTTTAGAATATAGCAAACAAGTATGGCAACTTACTAGGAAAGAAAAATCTAATGTTTTCATAATGCTGATCTCTTTAAAAAAGATTGATTTTAATAAAATGACTTGCAGGCACAAGTATTCTTAATTATTTGAACAGACATAATTGGGGAAGGTGGTTGTGGACCTATACTTTCACTGAAATGAAAGTGAATTATCATTGTGCAGGAACCAAGAACTTTCCATTCATAAATCATGCATCTAGCCTCAAAGTATATGTTCTGTCTATTATTGACAAAAAACCTACTCTCTAATGAAATTGCAAATATGAATTGTAATCTGATTCACCTATGCATGGAGTACCAGGTTGGAGGATTCAGTACCCTAGTATACGTATCTACTTCCTTCCTCCCATATTGTTATAATCCAATCACCGTTGTAGATGCCAGACTGTAGTACAAACTGCCTCTTGCACTTCAAGTCCACTCCTCAACTTTGACTACCTGGAAGCTCACTCTTCCTTGCTGCCAAGCCATAATGATGCCTTTAGCAAAATTAAGGAGGCACAAAACATGAAATTGTGTGAAGGGGCAATTCCCTGAAAACCTCAAATTCAGCATTGCAGAAGAACCTCTGTTTGAAATGAATACAATAGCCACATTACAGGATAACTAGTTATTAAAGATCAGGGTTTTTTTTTTTCCTTCAGATGTTGCTGCTATCCCAGTGTAATATACTGACTAGAACTGAGGTCCCCAGCCCTCAGGCTGTGGTGGACTATCCGGTTGCATCCTGTTCAAAATGGGTTGCGGGAAAGATGGGCAAGCGCAGGTATGAAGCTCCACTCGCATGAGTGATGGGCAAGCATATATGTGCGAAAGGAGGGTCCTCCGTTCACGTGGGGGGAGCTTTGTACTCATGTATTTGCCAGCCACTGGACCACAGCCTGGGGATTGGGGACCCCTGGACTAGAATCCGAACTAGAACTGAAAAGATTTGGTTTCCTTTCTATCTTTAATTATGGAAGCTTGGTATATCTTAACTCAACCTATTTCACAGGGCTGTTACTTTACAAAAACTGAAAGAAACAATGTATTCAGATTGCCTTGAACTGTTGGAATAATGGGCTTTATATCAAATAAACACGCAAAGAAATAACACATCTGAAGTAACTTATTCCAATTTATTGAAGGTTTGTTGTGTAAACAATAATATGCATTTAAGTGCATTATTTTGCAAATGCTAATTAATTTTTCCCCTTTACAAGGTATCCGTAGCCTGCAGAAAAAAATAAAAGCAGGGAAACATTTTTTTCCCCCATATAAACAAGCAAGGAATGTTTCTGGCATAAAATTAACAGATTTAGATTTGTCTATTTAAAATTAAAGTTTAAGATGCCAAGCTAGTTCCAGAAGGCCCACATACCTTTCTTTCTTTTGCAGCAACATATAATAAGGAGAATAATAAGGATCAGAAGGAGTAAAAGAGCAACTGACAACACAACAGCTAAAATTATAGTTCGGATTCGCCAATCTTCATTATCACATCCTACTAAATAAAAATTAAGCAATGTTAAACAGTACAATTAATTAGCATGAACATTTTAAAATGTTCCTAATTATTTTAATGAGTTCAATGAAGTCATTCTTAATTTATCTCAATTTTTAATTAGTAATGCTTCTTAGTGGAGATTTTTGGATTATTTACCAATTTATTTTCTCTTACGTTACTTTTATTTTTCTTATACAAGTTTCCAATTATGATTTGTAGTGAACAAATTAATCATTGCTAATTCCTAGTTTTGGACATCTTAAGAAACAGAACTGCATAATGTAACAAAGGTTAATGGGGCTACTCATGAATGCACCTTGATTTGAGTAACCTGAAATACTTTGCCTAAAAAGCTTCTTTGAAATCTTTTTATGCTTTTTACAGTGGTATTTTTTAATCATGAATTATAGGTTTTGTTTGAACCTTGACCTTTTGTCCTTTTTTAGGGAGCATGCATTTTCATGTGAGCTAATTCACCTTTGTCTATTTTAAAAAATCCGCTGCATCTATATTGTTTTCTGGGTTTAATTACTGTACTGTAGTATTTCATTTGTTTGCTTGGGCTTGGCAAATCACCCAGAAAGTGTTGATAGCAGCCATATCAATTTGATAAATAAATACTGACAGCATGTGCATTTTCTACATTGGAACTGACATGTCTCCACTTCAACTTAATCATTAGAAAGACTGTATATTCTCCAGCCTTCAGTATATATTCATCTTCGGAGCAAAATTGGCCTGTTATTGAAGAATGATGTTCCTCCATAATTGAATGATGTTCCTCCATAATCAGATAAGTATGTCATTCTTACACTTAATGGCATTTGGTTTTCTTCCATTCTGAGCTGCAGGATCCAGAGTGAATCAAAAAAGTCAATATGGCAGCTCCCAGTCAAAGCCGTTTCCTTTTTATATATGTACCATGTATGTGACATGTGTGGAGCTTCAGTTATATTAGTCATATTGACTTTCCTCTCTCACAAATACACACACACACACTGTTGTCATTTCTGATTCTGAGATGTGTCATGCAAACTATTGTAAATTGAAGAATATGTATATACAGAACAATTTATTACTGTCCCCAAAACCACTGTAATAATGTTTATTTAGTATTATACTAAATATTTAGCAAACATGCCAACCAAATGTGGGAGAAAAGTAATATTCTACCTGTTCCTTATGATTTCTGAAGAATGTATTAGACAGAGCAAACAAACTGAAAAAGCTTGATGACTCTGGAAGGGAAGGAGAGAAATAACAGAAACCAAATTGCTGCCTTTTCTCCCTAGTGTGAAAAAGAAATCCTATATGGGTATCATAAAAGACATTGCTTATGTCAGAGGGTGCTACTATCAGCAGAAGAGGATGGGCTTTGAGCTTTTTACAAATTAAAATTTGAAGAAACTGGGACAGACCATAGTAAGGCACTGCCAGTGGTGGGTTCCTAACCGGTTTACCGAGAGGGGGTGTTTTGCTTGCTTCACTTGAACGCACTCGCCACACATTGCTGCACATGAGCAATTTACTGAAAACTGTTTTGCGCATGTGCAGAAACATGCCAGCAACAGGAGAAGAAACCGGGGAACTGGTTCGGGGGCATGGCAGGCCTTGGTTGTTGCTGGTTTCAGTGACCCAGGCAGGAAATCCACTACTGGTTCAGGCCGAACCAGTAGGAACCCACCTCTAGTCACTGAACGTTGTTATTAATTGGCACATTTGGGCTGAAAGCACTGTGTTGCTTTTTAAAAATCATTTCTATGTAACATTTCCAAGGATTGAGAACTATAACCTTGGTTAAATTTAGGACTGTTTGGCATTCTTTTGGCCAGGAGACTAGTGATCACATGCCAATAAAAGAGCCTTTGTTGTCATCTATCTCCAGAGACTTTCTTTATTTAAAGGGAATATGGTTGCAGCAATACATGTTCCTTCAAAAAAAGACGTTTTTTTTAAAATTTCATGATGAAGAAACTTGGTATTTTAACCCCATAATTAAAAGACAAAATGTAAGTACAGGTAGTCCGCAACTTACAGCCATAATTGAGCCCGGAATTTCTATTGCTGAGCAAGAAAGTTGTTAAGTGAATTTGCCCCATTTTACTGCCTTTCTTGTTAAACGAATTACCACAGTTGTTAAGTGAATCTGACTTCCTCATTGATTTTACTTGACAGAAGGTCACAAAAGAAAGTCACATGATCATGGGACACTACAACCGTCATAAATATGAACCAGTTGCCAAGCATCCAAATTTTGATTATGTGACCATAGGGATGCTTCAATGGTCATAAGTATGAAAAAGGGTCATTAGTCACTTTTTTCAGTGCCATTGTAATTTCAAAGTTATTAAATGAAAGGTTGAAAGTCAAGGACTAACTGTACAGGTGTTCTTGACTAAAACAACAATTGAATGACCAAATTTTCCCTTGCTAAATGAGGCAGTTGTTAAGTTAGTTGCACCTCATTTTATGACCTTTTTGCCACTGTTGTTAAGTGAAGCATGCAGTCTTTAAGCAAATCTGGCTTTCCTATTGACTTTGCTTGTTTGAAGCCAGCTGGGAAGGTTATAAATGGTGATCACATGACTCCAGGACAGTGCAATTGTCATAAATACATGCCAGTTGCTAAATGCCCTAATTTTGATCATGTGACCATGGGGATACTGCAACGGTTATAAGTGTAAAAACTGGTCCTAACTCACTTTTTTCAGTGCAGTTGTAACTTCAAATGGTCACTAAATAAATGGTTGTAAGTCAAGGACTATCTGTAAAGCAATCCATTGGACTGACTTTTTACTCTAAATAACCCAACTCTCAACAAATTGTGAAAAGTACTTAAAATGTGAGTCTACTAGCCCAATTGGTCTGCTTGCTGATGAATTTGGCTGCTAAGAAATAAGAATTAGGGATATGAAACAGCTGGTTCAAAATTGGCAGTGTACTGAGGCTGTATGCCATCACTTTATTTACTTAACTTATATTATGAGAAATGCTGAACTAGAAGAAATGAAAAGTGGAATTAAAAGTACTGGGAGAAATTTCAGCAGTTCTTAATATGCTGATCACTTTGAAGGAGAGAAGAGATGGAATACTTGTGGAATTATCTTGTTGAAGATGAAAGAGTACAATAGTCCATCTATTGCTCTGTATTAAAGCAAGTAAGGTTATATCAGCAGGTTACAGCGAATCAATAAAATTAGCAGAGAAGAAGTTGTAGTCGTCTTTTACTTTTCATGAGAACATTTCCTCATTTATCTCATGACTGAGATAAAAATGTGTTAATTATACTTCGAGATAGAATAGTGGAAAAATCTTTTTCATATCTTATTCAAAAGATGCCCCTACACTGTGGTAGAAAAGAACGTGGAGGTTGTCATTGGTAAGCCCCCCAAAATAGAGTTATCTCTTCCTTTATCCTTTTTGCATGGCGGCATTTTACCACACTGACCCAAACCTCTTATTACTATATATTGCCAAAATGGTAATAGGAGCATCTTCAAGATCAATCTTTATCAAACTAGTCCCCTCCAAATGCTAGATAAAATTGTCCACAATGGTAATTGGTGATGATGAGAATTATTGTCTCACAAATTTGTGAGGCAACAGAGTGGAGAAGACAATTCAAGGGTTAATCTCACATCTTACATAGACATCTTACATAGACAAATTGATGCACATCTGATGAGGCTCATAATCCAGCACTGGGTAAACCAAATTCTATACATTTTGTGGGTATATATTAAGAGTGCATTAAACATTTCAACAAACATGAACTGCACTGATAAATTATTCACTTACTTGGTAAAGTTCACACACAATCACAATCATTGTTGCAGACTGAGATTTATAGAATGCATATTGACTCATGGGGTCAGAATTAAGATACTCTCTTCATTGTATAAGCCATTTGATACCTTACTGTAGTTTGAGAAATACACTAATAAAAATCATTTTCTGATTTTACAGAAGAAAATACAGAAAAAATAGGGGGAAATCCAATTTAAAATGATTAATGAACAATTTTTGCAGTAAGCCTATTTTTTTTTATAAAAAAAACAAGCTAAACGAATAATTGTGGAAATACATACTTACTATATACAGAAAGAAATGCATATCTATTGTTATTATTGTTCTGGAGGCTACATTTGATTTGTCCAGAATCTGTCAGCTGAACATTATGGATCATCAGCTCTGAAGTAAACATGCTACCATTTGTCTTAGAACCATTCTGAGTATATCGCTCATCTGTTACAATAGTTTCTCCAGAACTCAACACAGACAGCTTAGGATTTCCATTGAAAAGCCATATCAAAATTTTCCACCCATCTGATACTGTGCAGCTAAATCGAGCCACTGAACCTACAACAGCTGTTACATTTTGAGGGCCTTCTACGATGGCATAGCCAAAGCCAGGATCTGTAAAGCAAACAAACAGGAATTAAAACTATACCAACCCCATTATCAGTAAAACTATTTTCTGCTTATATTGCTAGACTTGAATAAGAAAGATAGCACTTTATAACAGTTATAGGGTCAAGTTATAATATCTAAAGTATGTGTGAAAACTGAAAAATACCGGTAGTTACAGTTCTATTTCAACAAAGGAGATGGAAGAGACATTGACTTGGTAATACAGTGATAATATAGAGTGAAGACAGATGATGTACATGGAATATGAAAGATTTTCTTTTCTGTGTTAGTAATAAAAACAAACAATCATTTCACACTACCAATTAGACCTGTGCTTCAGGATAATAAAAATCTAGTTGCAGTATGATTAACTAAGGCTGAACATTTACAGGGCAAAGTGCATATCACAAGGAAATATGTCCCACAGTGATCTGTTGTCACTTTCATAAAAAAAAGGCAAAGTTGGTTGGATTTGAAAGTCCTGATGTTATTTCTTTTTACACACACACACACACACACACACACACACACACACACAAACACACACACACACACACACACTCACGTATCGTTTGAGAACAGCTTAATTCTAGAGAAATTATTGGCAAAAGTTTACTTCAAAGCATACAGACTTATCTGGTAAGGTTTTTATATCATGAAAGCATTTTGATGGCTGCTCCCAGGCTATTTAGTTTACTTCTTCATATTCTTAGTTTATTAATGAGGANTGAACGTGGCGCATGTAAACAGAAAAACAGTAAGCTTTAAAATATTTACAGAATTCACAATGGTATGAGAAACAGTGTCTGCACTAAACAATTTACAGTCAAACAGAAACTAAATTAGTCAGCTAAAGTTAACAAACTTCCTCAACCCCCAAATAAGTTGCTCAGACCTAATCCACATATCAAAGGATAAGAGCTACAAACAGCAGAACTGCACGTCCACAAGAATACATATTTACACACACAAACACACACACACACACTCACGTATCGTTTGAGAACAGCTTAATTCTAGAGAAATTATTGGCAAAAGTTTACTTCAAAGCATACAGACTTATCTGGTAAGGTTTTTATATCATGAAAGCATTTTGATGGCTGCTCCCAGGCTATTTAGTTTACTTCTTCATATTCTTAGTTTATTAATGAGGAGATTGGATGCTCCCTACCCACTTTCTTGTTTGGTCCCATTTACAAACCAAAGTGCAATTAGCGTGATCAATTCTTAAACAAGCCACTATTATCTCTGAATAATCACCCAATAATAAACTTCCTTCCAGAACAGATAACACAGTTCTGTTTATTGTTATTTAAGGGAGTGCATTCTCCTTTAAATAACAATAACATACCATTTAGACTGGTGACATGGGCACTCTCACAGCTTAGCCTACCTCACTTCCTAGTCAAGAGTATAATTCTAGGATTGCCTGGTGGTGCCACACCCAAATACTCTGTTGAGGGTGCTTATTAACAGTGTCCTATAAAGGTAATATGGTGGTTTAAGACTGGGGACATAGCGCTCTCATAGCCTACCATCACTTCATAGACTGTCATCACTTCCGAGGTTGAGAAACATCCGAGGTTGAGAAACACTGCCTTAGCCTACAGAATTCTTATTCCAACCGACCATTCAGAGCAAGAAAACATTAAGAAAAACATCTTCAACACTCAATGCTCTCTTCTCAACTTGCATTCAATTCTTTGCAAGTGTAATGCAAAATATCTGCGCATCCAGAAACAGCCAATAAATACTGGTAGGCTTGAAGATTTGGTTCTGTGCTTGAGATGCCAAGTTCCTAAGAGAGCCCATTTCTTGGTTTTGTTGAGTTGTTGAATGTGTTTTTGTAATTTTTCTGAGCTGCCATGTGTTTTTTAAATATATTTTCTTTTTGTACATGTGTTTATAATTTTTAATATTGTTGTCTAGTGTCATATATTTGAGATAGGCAGCCATATAAATCTAATGAATAAATACACAAAGGATCATACCTGTTAGGTACAGCATCAGAGTGATAATCAGCCCAGTCCATCCCTGAAGTTTGTCCATTGAGCAAGCTGTTTCCTTGAATCTGAAAAATGACAGCCATATAAAACAGTATATTATAAATTATATTTTAGTAACCACTTGAAGCTGATACATTTTTTTTTAAAAAAGCAATGACCTTTCCAATATTGTGAACGTGGCGCATGTAAACAGAAAAACAGTAAGCTTTAAAATATTTACAGAATTCACAATGGTATGAGAAACAGTGTCTGCACTAAACAATTTACAGTCAAACAGAAACTAAATTAGTCAGCTAAAGTTAACAAACTTCCTCAACCCCCAAATAAGTTGCTCAGACCTAATCCACATATCAAAGGATAAGAGCTACAAACAGCAGAACTGCACGTCCACAAGAATACATATTTACACACACAAACACACACACACACACACCTCAAATGTCACCCTAGAATTAGCATGCACTTTCACACCCCAGACAAGCTCCCTCTATAAAAAATCTGTTGCTGAACCGCATTTCTCTGCAGCCTATCCCTAAAGGCAAACTGTTTTGGTTTTAGGAAAAAATATGTCTAATCTCCTCATAGTTGTCTGGATCTCATTTTTACTTATTCTTGCACACAGTCCTGACCCCAAATTATTCTTCTGACAAGTTGCATGCCTGCTCCTGTGCAAGATCAGTCCAATACTGTGCCCATGCTACAGAGCTTCAGTTCTTTCAGTGGCCCTCTACATTCACAAAAGAAAATTATAAACAGGACAGAAACTCATTCACATTCTCACATGATAAAGAAGAGACTGTTCAGGAGGATCAACCTATAATGTCTTTGATATCATTGAGAAACTAGAGATTCTGGATTTGTTTAGCTTAGCTGATAATTAGCATTATACAAGTCTTAACTCCAAAAAAAATAATTTAAAAGATTGCCATAACAGTACAAGAAGCCGACAACATAATCAATTATATACCTGTCTCGTTAGTAATATCAGAAATATTGATTACCTAAATGCTGTTTAGGGTTGTAGTCGCAAGTAACTATTACAACCTGAAAATAGCATTCAGATTATTAATATTTTTGACAAACTGTGACAGAGGTGATTAGTGAAACACTGAATATGATGATTGAAGGATCTTCCAAGATCTTTAAAAACTACTTAGATAACTGTTGGCAACCAATAATTGTATACAGGTAAAACATAACTTGCAGATGAGAGATGGTGTATTCTGGTCCTACTCTATATCTGTAACCCTACACATAAGGTGACCAATCATCCTCCTTTAGGGAGGACAGTTCTTCTTTTGTAAGTTCTGTCCTCCTTCGAAAAGTGTCCTCCTACATGTCCTCCTTTTCGATATTTGAAGACTAATTTGGGGCACGTTATGTGACGTATTTGTATTTGACATGATGATTCGTCAAGGCTCGGTATAGTGCGGTATAAGACGCGATTATGAGACTCATGCACTCCGCATGGGAGACCTTGAGAGAGAGCGCCATGCGCAAGTGGCTTTGTTTACTTCTTACCGAAACATGACACGGCACATACGCATGCAGTAGACTCACGGCATGTCGGCAATTGAATGACTCACAATAATTAATTCTTTCTCAGTGAATATTCAATTATACAGAGGTAAGTACAATTCAAGTTTTATTAATTCATTATCTATTTAATAATTTCCAAA